CACAACCGCTTTGTCTGCCGCCGCCGCCGCCATGGCCCACTCGCCCGTCGCCGTGCAGGTGCCCGGCATGCAGGTGAGCGCCGCCCCCCCACGCACGGCACCCGCCGTGGGGTCGGGCAGGCTGTCCCCACCCGCATCCCCTCACACCTCGGGGCACCCTTGGCGGGACCACCCCGCGCGGGTGCGGGTGCGCCAGCGTGAGCGGCGAGACGCGCCTCTCAAGCGAGGTGTGACACACGCTGTCTGACCTGGGGTCTTTTTAGGTTTGTCGCAGCTTATCTTTCCAAGCCGCGGGAGAGGTTGTTCTCCAGGGCACGCGCCTGGATCCTGGCACGGTTGAGACCCCGCCGGTCCGTACGGCCGTACGTCGACGACCTGCCTCCTGCTTGGCCGCGGGCGAAGAGGGCGAAACACCTCTCGCTAGTCCGCAGGATCGACGCCGGGCATCGCCCACGAGCTATTTTCGCTCCCCGCTGGAAGAGCTTAATTCCCATGCAAAGCCGAAATTAGCTTTCGATCCCAATTGTTCCATTTTTTGGAATGCGTCTCGCTTCTTTCCTCGTTAGTTGCTCTCACGTGCGCGTCGGTATAGGTCTTTCTTGAGGAGCGTCCCGGTCAAGAGATGGCACGTGTCCATGAATTTTGGGAGGCTTTGTGTAGGAGTACAGGAGCGAACACCTTCCCCTGGAAGTACTCCGCTCTAACGCATGACAAATTCTCCAGCTACACAAGTATTTTCTTTGTTTGTGAGACAGTCATGCCTCTGAAATTTAGGTAGCCGAAATGATGCAATAGCCTTTAGGATGTACGCTAGAATGAATGGCAGACAAGGTTCCTCGGGTGAATTGGATATCTTTTATTCGACCAACCCAAATAGTTGGAGAAGAGTTAGTGAGCAAGCTTTCGGGTTCAAAAACCCTTCGTCTAGGCGAGGATGAATAGCTGTCCACAATCAAGGAGGGCTCACAACTGCTAGTAACCATAACCTTTAATGGTGCATGTGGTATTTAAGGCATTTGCAAATGTAATTATGCACTTTCTAAAATGGTAAAGAATGAAACTTTTAAAAGTAGGCCAAGTTGGTAAGGTAAAGGTACTCCTTTTGCTTTTAATTTGTCTGCAGGATGTTTATATTTCCTGAATTCTGTTTAATTTTTCTCCTAAAAGAAATTATCTTGCTCACTTTTTGTTGATGCAAGCGGACACGAAATCGTACTTTCTCGGCTACTTAGAATGTTAATCTGCCAATTTCCGTGGTATTTGAAATGTATCTTTATTATTAATTACACGGATTTAAAACTTAGACTAGGGAGCTCTGATGATAGAAGAAGATTTATTTCTAGTTATGTGCTCTGATGTGACTTGCAGTTGTTTAAGGTTCATCTTACATTACTTCAGTAGTCCTCCCCCCACATATTTTTCATTCAAAATCCTAGACAGTCCCTACTTATACTTGAATATTTGAATATATTGCTCATCTCTTCCATTAGGATTTACTCTGGTTCCGAAAGGACCCTGAAATTATTATAAGTACTGTTTTCTAAGTTGATGCATTTTACATGTTTCCTTCCACTGGAGTGATGTTGTTAGTTTAACCCAGACCCCTTAGTATATTTGCCTAGGTTTTATGCATATTTTCTTACCTTAATTGTCAGCATCTGTATATATGTAAAAGTTATTTTTTCCCCGGAGGTTATTTTATTTTTTATGAAAGCCAATATACACATCATTAAAAGCTCTTCTAGGATGCAAAGAATTTGAGTTAACAGCGAAATTAATCTTTACCGTATTCCTCTCAAACTGCGGAAGAGATGATTGGGATATAGGAGTGGCTTCATCCTTTTTTAACTCTACCTTGTTGACTATTATTTAATCAGGGCTGTCGAGGTAGTTAAAGTGTTACCTGCTTCTGGTCAGTGTTTTGAAATAAACACCTGCTGTTTGATTTGAGAAACTGTAAGCAGATCCGTGTTTGTCCTGTTTTGATTTATGGGGACCAATAGCTATGTTAAAATTAGTGCTGGGAAAGATGGGGGAGGGTTTTAGTCTCCAAAGCATAGTCTTATACCCTGTATGTAACATGGGAAGGATTTTATTTACTGTTGGAGTGGAAGTAGTTTAAGATGGTTCAGGTTGTCCCTGTGAAGTTTTCAGTTGGTAATCTTATATTTTCCTTTACCCCCCACCCCCCTTTTAATTATAATTAGAAGGAAAAGAACATTTCATGAACAAAAGTAGTGTCATTTATTCTTTAGCTTATTTACTAATTCCACAACAAAATATATGTTGATGTTGTGGAGACATTTTTTCTGGCTTGGTTAAGCCAAATAACTTGAAAATAATGTTTTCCTATTTAAAATACATCCCGGTATTGGAAACTAGAAAGCCGCATCAAAGTCACTAAAGTAACTCTAACTCTGCCTTATAAAAACCCTGACAATAATAGAAGGCTCTGAAACAGTCTTATCTATCACTCTGATGAGTAGCTACCAAAACATTTAATTAGGCAGTGGTTGCACAGACTCCAATTTTCTGTACAGCCTACATTCAGTTCAAGAAAAAACATGTACCTTCCAATTCCTGATTACACAAATAGCCCACGAAATACATTCTCTTCTCACTGTTTGCAAAGCTTCCATTTGTACAGACACAGAGTTTGATGTTAGGTTATTTTTGCATTTGAACTTCAAAGTCTGGTTCATAAAATTATAGCACTTGGAGCTAAGGCTATCATGGTTACTAAAGATTGTATTTAGTATTGCCAGTGTGCATATAAAAGTTCTCAGCAGTGTAAGCGTTTAGTAGTCTACCTACAGGTTTGATATATAGTGTGTTTTATATATTTAAGGTTAGAATAACAAAATGAAAGGTACTTGGAGCTGTGGGCGCCCAGCTGAGGTTGTCTAGTGTTGTGAAGTATAGGTGTCCTTGTCCTCCAGTTAGAGTTAACTCAAAGAACTCACAAATGACTGGATTTTCCTTGTCTATTTTTTTGTGGGGAAAAAATAGTGAAGGTAGCTCCTGCTGATAGAATAAAGTGTCTCACTGTAAGATCTTACTGTACTGCCACCCCCCGTAAGGGATCCAGCTGAACTGAAATGTGTTTCTAGGTAGAGATTGTGGGAGAAGGGGGTGCTGCTGCCTTGAACTGTCTCCCCCTAATAGGATGGTGTGTGAGGGGAAAATAATGGCTACTGCTGGCATTAGAGAAGGGATGTTTAGGTACGGTGATTCCTTCGTTTTTTTCCCCTTCGATCCAGCAGACCAGACATATAACTGAAAGGGGCTGCAGAAAGTCAGGTGAGCAGAAAATTCAGGATCTTTGCTGCACCCTTAATTTTAGATGGGCAAAGCCTGAGGTGGGCATCTGTAACTAACTGAACCCTACGTTTTACTCAGAAACCCTTTGTTTAAAGTTGGACTTGCCAGTGTCTCCTGTGTATGATGAATGGCCAGTTACTATGAACGGTAAAGGCAATTTGTACTTAATTGTTAGTGTCATAAGTGCCTGACTCTTGATTAGGCAAGGTTCTTTGGGCAGATGTGATATCTTTTATTAGACCAACTAAATGGTTGGAAAAAATGTTCTTTGCCAGTTTTCAGGCACAAACGCCCTTCTTCAAGCATTTTTTCCAACTTAAGAACATTTTTCCAATATTTTTTCCAACAAAGAACCTTGCCTGCCTATGTCCTTAGACCAACACGGGTACAACCAACAACCCTGACTTTTGATTATTTATCTTTTTTTGAAGACAGGCCCTCAAAAAGGAGGGGGCATACAATTTTTCTGTGGGTTCCTCCACCCTCAATGGAAGATCACTTGAGAAATAAGGCCTATTACTTGGAGAAGTGGTAGATGAACTCTTCCTTTCCTGGTTTCAAACTAGTGTGCAATACCTGTATTTGTGTAATGTTTAATGCTAGTGGAAATATCTCAGAGTATTCAGCATACAGGATACTAGTGGGAGAATTATTTGTGGGTGAGGATAGCATGCAAATCCTTTATGAGCAAATGAGGTCTCCGCCTCTCCTAGAGGGAGAAATGTTATTTGGCTTGTTTTTTGTCCAAAAAAAAAAAAAAAGATGGTACGAGGTAAAATAAAAAATTCTAAGAAATTACTTAGAAAAGGCCAGTTTACAAACTTTTATACAGGGTGGAACCACTCCCCCCACCACCCTCCCACCCCTCAAGAAAAAAAATCCTGAACAGCATCTTCTTTGGCTCTTTATTTAATCTTTTATAATCTGTGTTTTTCTCTTCCTGTGATTCAGTGTCTTTGTATCCCGTTGGATATACTTATCGTGGATGGAAAGGTCTGACGACATGCTGCCTAGTTGCTTTGTGCCCTAAATGCTCGCTCCTGCCCTCCT